ACGACAGTCTCAGGCGCACAAGTCCAAGATGAAAGTTTTAGGCAGCGCACTCGAAAAATGGAGCAGTTAACGTTAGAACTGAGCAGGTTATTTGCGTAATGTCCAGTCTGTTCCTGTCCACTCATCTAAAAGATTCAGTTTTTTTTACACTTTCTGGTGTTACTTAGTATTTTCTCTACGCTTTTTAGTCTTTGTTCCCCTTAATTTGGGAATGGGCTGATTTATGTGGTGCTCCGTGGTTAACCCTGTCTTCTCTTAAGTTTTTGTACACTCGTGAGGTCTCGGTCAGATTTTGACACTTAAAATTGCATTTTCGAAAAGTTTTGGGATGTATCCTCGAATTTAAATGGTCATTTTCACCTACGAATAAAGGTGAGGTTTTGACGTCCAGCTGTAAGTATGACGATGTAGCGAAGGATTTCGTCGAGCCTTCAATTTATTTTTCTGATTTTCGGAGGTTCGAACTCGTAAAACAGTCTATCGTCATAGATGCTAGCAGCAACAGAACAATTTGCAGAACTCTGGATCAACACTGTTGTGTTTAATTAGCAATATAAATTAATGCGAATTTGGAGTTAATAGTGTCGTCAGAATTAATGGTCGAAATTGTTAAGCCTCTGTGTTCACGCGCGAATGCCCTGGTTTTATGACTAGAAAGTTAAGGCACATTAACGCAGAGACGTGAGTTGAATCGAAATACACGTATGCATGAGACTGACGTGCTTTTGATCACACCATTACCAGCTAATTGAATCGCTGCGATTGTTTCTCTGATTACCTTCCTTTTCATACTCATGTTGTGTGGCTTAAAATGTTAATAAACAGATTGAGCTCTCTATACTTTTATATTTTTAACTCGCAAGCGTTTACACAGTAATGCTGGTAATGAGAAAAGTCCACTATCTTACTTTGTAAGAGCCTGGACGCAAGGCATATATGCTTTACATTTCATTAAACTGCACCCATGGCGTTGTTATGGTTGAAACTCTCTAGGGCCGTAAGCAGCCACAGACAGTCTTCCATCTCTAAAGGAAACCCGTGTGCACCCAGATGAAGCGGCAATTCTCGGTGGTTATGCCGCTATCTTCATCAACGCTTGAATATATATGACGGAAACACTCGGAGCCACTAGTTTCATAAAAATTGGGTCAAGTTATGCACATAGTCTACTGCAACGTATAGGACCCACCAATTCGGACAGGGTAGGCTGACTGCTCCGATAGCACTTCCTAAACAATCACTCTGGAATCCGCCAGATAACTACTCGGAGCAATACGTTTTCTTCATAACT